TGGTCACGTGGCCTAAGTTGGTATTTGTAACTACCTTCCTCTACTACCCATTCTGTATTTCCTCCACCATCAGCAAGCACCTCTGCAGGTCTTGGCTCTTTCTCTGGAGGAGTGACCCATACTTTCATCCCCGAAGGGTCTGGGCCATTTGTTGTCCTGTCTGGATTGTGTTGTTGCAGTTTCCTATTGACCTTAATCACAGGTCATGGTAACACCAGAAGTCGCCCTAAGGAATCTCCTGCCTTCCAAATAGAATCCTTATTACCTCCATTGTGGAGAACCAGTCCAATTTCCCCCTGGTAGTCTGAGTCAATCACCCCTCCTAATACTGTTATTCCTTTCTTAGCCTGCTGACTTAAGGGCATCAGAAGCCCAAAGTGTCCAGGGGGAAGTCTTAGCTTCCAGTTAAACGGAATGTTTGTTGTCTCTCCTGGCAGAAGCATTCCCTCCTCTGGAACCAAAACATCCATGCCAGCAGAGTGCAAAATTGAGGGTACAGGAAGCAAAAATTTTCCTAGTGGGTCACCAGGGGTGATAGTGGATACATTCCCACTTCCACCCCTTGATTCCTGGACCTGTGAATCCTGGCTATAGGAGAAACTGTACCATATATTGGATGCTGATTCAAAGCATACACTGCCTTCTGGAGGACCCTGCCCCAGCCTTCCAGGCTATTGACACCTAATTGGCACTGTAACTGTGTCTTTAAGAGGTCATTCCATTGTTCTGTCAAGCCAGCTGCTTCAGGATGGTGGGGAACATGGTAAAACCAGTGGATTCCATGACCTTGGGCCCACTGTGGCACTTCTTTGGCTGTGAAGTGAGTTCCCTGGTCAGAAGTGATGCTGTGCGGAATACGATGACGGTGAATAAGGCATTCTGTTAGTCCCTGGACTAAGCATTAGTCCCTGGCAGAAGCATTACGTGCAGGAAAGGTAAATCCATAACCAGAATCAGTGTCTATTCCTGTAAGGACAAAATGCTGTCCCCTCCAAGATGGAAGTAGTCCAGTGTAGCCAACCTGTCACCAGGTTGCAGGCTGGTCACCACGGGGAATAGTGCCACATTGGAGGCTCAGTGTTGGCAGATCTGGCATTCAGCAGCAGCTGTAGCCAGGTCAGCTTTCGTGAGTGGGAGTCCATGCTGTCAAGCCCATGCATAACCTCATCTCTGCCTCCATGGCCACTTTGTTCATGGGCCCATTGAGCAATGACAGGGGTACCTGAAGAAAGAGGCTGACAGTCCACAGAGCAGGTCATCTGATGTATTTGACTATTGAACTCATCTTCTGCTGAAGCCACCTTTTGATGAGCGTTTATGTGAGACACAAGTATGTTCCCATCCTTTGTCCGTTTGGAGAGCTCTGTCCACATACTTCTTCCCCAAATGTCTTTCTCACCAATTTTCCATTCATGCTCCTTCCAAGTCCCTGACCATCCAGCCAAACCATTCGTTACAGCCCATGAATCAGTATACAATCTCACTTCCGGACATTTCTCCTTCCAAGCAAAATGCACGACCACGTGCACTTCCCGAAGTTCTGACCACTGTGAAGACTTTCCTTCCCCGGTGTCCTTCAGGGTTCCTCCAGGAATTGGCTGTAATGCCACAGCTGTCCACTTCTGAGTGGTGCCTGCATAGCGTCCAGAACCATCTGTAAAACAAGCCCTAGTCTTCTGTTCCTCAGTCAACCTATCAGAGGGCACACCCCATAAAGACATAGGTGCATGCTTGAGAACAGGAGGCATCGTAACAGGAGTAGGAACCATAGGCATTTGGGCAACTTCTTCATGAAACTGCTTGTGTCCTCCGGGCCTGCTCAAACCCGATCACGTATATACCACTTCCATTTGATAATGGATTGTTGCTGTGCACAGCCTACTTTATGGCTTGGAGGGTCAGATAACACCCAGCTCATGACGGGCAGGTCCAGTCACATGGTGACTTGGTGGCCCATTGTCAAATGTTCAGTTTCCACTAAGGCCCAATAGCAGGTTAAGAGCTGTTTCTCAAAGGGAGAATAGTTGTCCACAGATGAATGCAAAGCCTTACTCCAAAATCCCAATGGCTTCCACTGTGATTCCCCTATGGAGGACTGCCAGAGACTCCAAACAGCATCTTTATCTGCCACTGATACCTCAAGCACCATTGGGTCTGCTGGATCATATGACCCAAGGAGCAGAGCAGCTTGCACAGCAGCCTGGACCTGTTGAAGGGCCCTTTCCTGTTCCAGGCCCCACTCAAAGGTAGCTGCCTTCCGA